CCCCAAAACCCCAAAACCCCAAAACCCCGTGAATCTTTATGATTATTGAAATTTTATAAACCTTTAAATTAGAAACAGAATGGTAAGGATTTGTATTACAAGTTTTACATTATTGGTCTAGAAATTATTAATCTGACTCTCAACTACTGTCCTGAGTATTATTCCACGAGGTGCTGATTTCTTCAGAGGGTGAAGTTTCCTCCAATTTTTCAATAGAGATTCCTTCTACTTCGACGTTTACATTTTCAACTCTGATACTCTGGATTTTTAATAGCTCAAACTCACAGATTTCAACAGAGGAGACAGAATATTTAGTAATTATAGCTGCAGAAGATCTGATGCCGGCTTTATCTCATTGGATAACATATCTATTTGGTGGCAAGCTTATCTCAACCAATGCTGGTGAAAAGCTTTCTAAATTTTCAGTAAGTCTCTGAGTAAGATATTTTATTCATCAAGGCAATCTTAACCCACAAGATAACAGTGGACTTATTAGCTCAGGATTTCGGATATGATACCAAGCTTTTGGCAGCTTTTTAAGCGGAGAAATAGCTTCTGAAGAATTTACGGAAACCTCAAGTCTATCCTGCATAGAATGTCCTACATTTTCGACAACTTCTGGCACCAGGTTGGGTATATAGGACACATTTTTGTAAAATGCATTCTTATGCTTACTAATGTTCCCATATGAATACATTATTCCAATATTTATGCATTTCTTTTTAAGCATATATCATAAATCTGCGTATGTTTCAGGGAGAATTTTCGTGCAATCTACGACTATCTTCCTAATACTGACAATCCCTTCATTACGAAGTTTACTAAGTGTGACTAATAATACTCTTGCGCCCAGTGGATTATCAACGATGACCTCGTCAGTTTCAATAGAACAACAAAGCTGATCGGATACTTGAAACAAGTACTGAAGGCTCTTGTATCCTTCAGGAGCATCTACATAAGTGGGCTGGATATGTTTGATATATTTGGTAGAGTGAAGTCTCCAGCTTGTCCTTGACTCATAACATAAGTTCCTCATGACGTAGCTACAGTCCCTACTGTTACCGTAGTAGGATATAATCTTTATTGAAGGGTATAAGTATTTCAACAGCATGCCTTTCTTTTGTTTTTCGTAGAATATTATAGCTTGCTTGTTGTAGTAATCTCTGAAGTCCTCTCCTTGTGAGTAGCTGAAAGTAGGATCGATTGGAAAATTTATTAAATCTTCCTGGCTGCATGAATGGTCATAAAGGAAGTAGAAATTATCATCATAGAAGGTAGGTTTCTCAGGAATGGTAGGATAAAAGGACTTTTTAGCTTCTCTTGAATCTCATCTTCTATATGAATAGTAATTTGCCTTTGACATTATTTTCTTTCAGTATCGTTCAAGCGATTCTGATGTATGGTGGTGAGATTTTATATCAATTTGATTGATAATGCGTTCGATTTTGAATGATCTGTGACTGTTTCAAGCATGAGTTTCAGTATTTTTGTCTATCTCATCATTTTCAGTCTGACTGGATTCTGTTTTATCAGAAACAGACTTTTTGCTACTATGAACTTCTACATCTTGATCCGTATCATCAATTTCAGCCTGGCTGGTCTCAACTTCATCAGAAACAGACTTTTCACTATCATGAGCCTCCACATCTTCGCTCATCTCATCACTTTCAGTCTGGCTGTACTCAATTTTGGCCGTCTCGAATTTATCCTCTTCTTGTTTTTTCTCATCTTCTTTCTCATCACTATTCTCATTCTTTCTAATCCCAGTGACATAAGGTACAAATTTAAGGTTTAAATTTTCTCCTACAGCTTCATAATCATCTCAACTTTCATATGGAGAATACTGAACTTTGTCAGTTCCCCATCTCTTATCTATATCAGTCCCAACAGCTTTATAAGCTGTATCTACCTCAGCTAGCTTGTACTCATTCGTCATTGCTCTGCATCGCTCGTCTAAATCTCCTTGAGCAGTTTTGAATTCTTCTTCAGCCCATTTGTCCATTAACGATTGCTCATATTCTGTAATCTTGCCGTTCTCAAGGAAGTCTCCAAAATAGTCAAGGATGATGTCGAAAATATGGTCCTCAAAAATCATGATGGACTAGAATAAGCTCCTGGTTTTATGAGCCAGGCTCGAGGCTTTATTTTCATGCGGAATCTTGTCAAATTTTAGGCTCTAGGTTTCAAGGGGATATTTAAGACAGGGGTTTTGGGGTTTTGGGGTTTTGGGG